AGATATGGTCAGACTGTCATCAATTTATGTACTCATTTCCAAAATTACAGCAAAGTTTAAACTTAGACTCATACCTACAGTTACCACTAAGCCAGATAGTTATGGTTATGGAATTTGATCATTGCAAAAATTAATATTTGATACCACATACTACACGTCAGTGTCTTACCATTATATACTTATTGGGAGTGAAATAAATGAAATATTTTTAGCTATATGGAACAAACTAGTCAATGTAAGGATAAGTATTATGCTATAGTTTTCAATATTCTTACCATTTATCATCAATGAAAATATGTTTATTTTGTTAATGAGTCCCAGGACTGTTGAATTTATAACCTGTAACTCTCAAGTTAGCCAATATATTAGTAGTTAGTATAGTAAGGCCTCCTTCATCACCATCACACTACTGCTTAGCCTAGTTAGTACAAATCTAATCACCTTGACTGCCTCATAGATCTAGTGGTGGTTAGTGCCCCAGAACATTTGCTCTGTAAGGCCCGCCACATACATACAGAATTCCGTTTCGATATACCGATTCGAGATTCCAAACGCAAAAGTTCATATAAAATCTATGACCCGTCACACACGTACAGTAGTTTTCCGTTCAAAATTTTGCAGGCTAAATGGGATTCCGTATGTGTGTGCTTGACCCGTTCGGAATTCCGAAACGGAATCTCAAAATGGAATTCTGTATGTATGTGGCTGGCCTAATATAGCATAACTATGTTACAAAGTAAATTTTCATAGATTTACAAAGCTACCCACACAAGCAAAATTATTATTAGAACATTTTTATACCTTGTATTGCTATTACATTTAACCCTCAAGCACTGACGTGCAATTTAGTAACACTAACACTGACATACGTATGACATACGTCTATGATTATAAAGACCTATTGTGCATCGATAGAGTGTAAATATTGTGATGTGTATTTACATTTTGGTTAAATATATTTAATATAACCTAGGGATATTAAAAAAACAGTTAAGATAATTAAAGCAAAATATTTATTAATCAACGGCCTTAGAAGTAATGAAATTAACATAATATTTCTTTTTAAATCAACTAAAAATAATTTTTAAGAATAGGAACGTTTATTATTGGTTTTGTTACTTACTAAGGATGGTTTTAGTTATAAAAAAATAGCAATCACATAAATAATGAAAATTAGGCACTTTTTAACAACAGTTGTTGCAGGTCGGCTTAGAGCACTGCAAACATACTGGTTTACCGCATGCTTGACAACCGTATCTTGTTTTGCGACGTTTTAGTTTATAACACATATAGCAATTCTTCATGGTTTCAAATTTTATAATTTCATGACTTGGTTGACCCACTTCGGTAGCCATATACGACTTTGCCCAAGATACGACCAATAAGACTCGAAAGCTCATGTGAAAGTTGCGGCGTCGTGTATCTTTTTTCCAAGATTTTTCATGAAACTCAGACGATCCGAAGTATTATAATTTGACATTATAAAAGAATTGACAGCAGCAATATCTAAAATTCTGTAGAATATGATCAACGGCCATCGCCTAGACCTTCTTGCACAGCAGTATTTGGCACATTTTTCATCTAAGGAATCAACACCTCCTTTACAAGAGTTATAAAATGATATTATTTCTGGGATCCCTTTGACCGAATCCATGCTCTCTGTATGGTGCATCGACGACAACATTATAACAGTTTTGTGTTTTTTTGGTACATAGGACAACAACATAATGTCTTTCGTGAAACCGTATAAACCTGAATGAACTGATCAAGTTTTGGAAAGAAATTCAGGTGGTATTTCCCTTTTGTTTTTTTTTTAGTGTCCCTACATATGTCAAACAATTCTTTTTAATTCTCTGCATACTTCAATCGAGGAGAAGTAATTATCTGCAGTGATGTTTCGATTAGTTCCCATGATGGGTTTTGCTAAACGTAAAACACATTGTGTAGGTACCAGCAGTTTTTTCTGTTCGTCGGTTAGTCCGTTGCCGTCACTGTTCTTGCCCGTATAGAGGTAAGCATTGTACAGGTAATCGGTGGTACTATCAGTTAGACATTTTATTTCCAATCCATACTTGCAGGGTTTGTTAGGCATGTACTTCTTCCATCTGCACCTGCCTCTAAAAGACACTAACATTTCGTCGATAGTGGTATTCTCTCCAATTTTATAATACTTTTGGCCATTGGCGACAAATTCATAAAATATGCTCGAGATAGGAGCAGCGACATCAGACTGTTTTCTTTCATCTCTGGTAGATGCATCATCAAACCGAAGACTTACGAGAATCATTGCAAAACGATCTTTGGACATTACTCCTTTAAAAATATCTCTCCCTGTTCCATCAGTAGCAAACAATGCAATTATGTCTTCATTATTCGATTTGAATGCTGCACTAAAAATCAACAGCCCAATGAAAGCATCCAACTCTACAGAATCTAAGTCCTTCAGTTCAGGTTTGCCTTGTCGCTTATATTTTTGCCTTACCAATTCCAGTTTTTGGTTAGTATTTTCTATAATTTGTGTTTTAATATTGTCAGTTATTAGCAAACTAAATAATTGTGAAGGCGGACTATCTGGTGAAAAATCAATTGTAGTTATTGGAGTAACGATGTTGTGCGCAGGTGCGCGTGTAGTTCTCGATAGCCCTTCTGCAGACCACTTCATGCAGCGTTTTTTTCCGTAGTAGTACTTTCTGCGATATTGCGATACATTACCCTCGGCAACTGTACTTACTTGAGAATCGCTTACCTGGACGCCAGTTTGCCTTTTTTCAGAATCAATATGGCGGGAAAAATGTGACAAAGGCATACCATCTTCAGAAGAGTCAGGGTCCGAAGCTCCACCAGCGGCCTCTCCATCATCACAATACTCCTCTTCTGAATAATCATCGCGGTCCGACTGAATGTAATCATTTTCATCCGCCGATGATTCATCTGATTCACAAAGCCAAGATGCGATAATTTCTTCGTATTAGTAGCATCACCTCCAATACGTAGTATTTTTCTAGACGAAGATATGCCGGAAGGAGAATTACATCGCTTACGATTCATTTTATCTAAAGACAAACATAAACACATAATTTAAAAAAGTCACACTAACACTGACAATACGTACGACGTACGTCAAGGTATCAAACTTACCTATTTAGACACGTGCCACACGTCTGCACTCCACTGTTACGCGGTCGTTACTGGCGAATAGGAAACTACCAAAAAGGACGCGTTCGAAATCCCGCGCAATTTAAAATTTACATCGAAAAATTGTTTAGGCGACGTACCACATACGTACGTCAGTGGTTGAGGGTTAATTTGCTAATAAAAAAAAGTTGTTTATTTGCTAATCTGTTTATTTGAAGTATAACCCATTAAAAAAAAGAATCATCAAAATAATCATTATCAACGTACATACAATTTTTTTATATGATAGGGTGACAAACGTGCACACAGTGTGGCCCTTAGACCCTCGTTTGCAAATCAAAATGCAGATGCGTTGTCACCCGTGAGGACTAAGATGGAATGCCTCTTTTCCAGTAAAAAGGGTCTCCAGTTCTCTACACTCACCATACGAAACACAGTAGTGTCAAGCTGCCATTTTACACTGGTATTCTGTGAGAGCGTGGTCCTTCCCCAGTCGAGCCGACCCATTCATGCTACAACTATACTACTAATATAGCTGTAGCATGGCTCTACCACATATAAAAAATACATTCATAAACAGACAACTAAAACATACACTCTAATTCAGAACCTCTTCCTTTTTGAAGTTGGTTAAAAATAAATCTAACAAGTAACTAGATTAGATTTTCTATGCATATTCACTCCAATATCCACAAATGATGTAATAGTTTAATCTATGATAGCATTTATAGTTATCATCCACATGTTAAGATAAATTTGTAATGAGAAAATCACCAACATCAAGAAAATTGCTTGAATCCCAATGGACTATTTGACATTCATTGCAGTAATTTTTAAGAGTGGTCAAAATAAAAAATAAAATGTTTATTGCTACACTGCCTCTTATATTATGTATCCCTGTTTAGCCTAATGGTTGACTGGAAGAGAATGCCTTATGGCATTAAGTCCGCCATATGTATTACTTTGTGCATGAAAGTGTAAATAAATAAATAAAATCATTTCTAAGGAAATTGTATCAGAATAAAGTGTACTGTTTTAATAGCCAAATAGTAATCTTATCTTAAATACTAATAATCTAATACTAAGTTTTAATGGTAAATTGAAAAAAGTAGTAGGTTATTAGTAGTAATTCGAAAATATTACTTAACCCTTTCACTGTCCAGTGCAATACATATATATATAGGTCATTGCTATTATCTTACTATTGTGTCTGAAAATCGGATGGTATATAAATATAAAGAGGCAGGATTTCCATAATAAAAATAAATATGTGAAAGGGTACCAACGTCAGAACTTAGTATTTAACTTATGACAAACAATGCTGACAACCTATGTAAATTATAATAGTGCTAAAATATCTAATATCAAATTATTTTTACTGATAGTGTTTATATAAAAGTGAGGTTGAAGTTATATGTGATAGAGCCATGCTGCAGCTATATTAGTAATATAGCTGTAGCACGAATGGGTTGGCTCGACAGGGGAAGGACCACCCTCTCACAGAATACCAGCGTAAAATAGCAGTTTAACACATCTGCATTTTGATTCGTAATTGAGGATAGACATAGATGTCTATGGGCCACAGCAACCACTTACCATCAGGTGTACTGTGTGCTCATTTGTTACCCTTATCCTATAAAATAATAATAACGAAAGAAATAGATCAGAGAAATACTTCTATAAGAGTAAGCAGGATAGAGATAGTTGCCATTAAAATTAGTACCCTTTTTGTACATTGTATATTTTTCACTATAGAAGTTGCACCAGTCTGGTGTCAACTACCCAATTATACATTATATTGTTAGAAGTTATCAGTAACAGTTTTATTTTATACTATAGATCATAACCTTTATATTGTGTTTAAGATGCAAGATCCACAAGCTGACAACATGTTTAAGAAAACTGAATTTGAGAATGCAATATTTCTTAGTGATGAAGATTTCAAGACCATCAATGGGTAAGTTGTTTAACTGTAATCAATGTATTTTATACATAGAATCTCAAGCAAATTATTAAATGATTAATTATGATGCAATAGATATGTCACTTTATAGTGATGTTGGTTTATTCACTTACTTTTTTTCATAATACAAGATTTATTATTAATAACATTAAAAGTGACTGGCCTAATGGTTAATGGTGCAGACTGTAAACTCTGAAAGTCGTAGATTGAAATCTGCCATTTATATACTGTCATGAACAGCTCCTAACTTAAGAATTTTAAGCTTACTTGAAGTATTAGTGATATTAACAGTTTCCCTGTCTGTGAAAAAACACTAGTTAAATAATTAAAATGTTTATATATTGGGGCCTATACATCATCGGTCATGATTGACAACCACAGAATGGGCATTGATTGTGTGGCTGCCCACACAATTGTGCATCCTATATATTTGTATTGTCATTGCCTCTCAATATATTTACGAGAGCTTATTGTATGTACACAAAAACAAAAATAGTTTTATTAAAAATAGTGATGTACACTGCAGGCCAAAAGTTTAAGACCACACTTAAACAACATAATTATCTATATTGTAATGAAATCTAAAGAAGTGATTCTTTTATTTACTTTCAAGTTCTTGGACAATAAACATGTATTGTTTTCAAACACCCAAAAACGCTGCCTTAGAACCAGATTGTAGAGTCATAATATTTTTATGATGGGCTAATAACTAATTGCCTTGCTTTTGTTTCCCATTGGTCAATAATTAAGATTATTTAGCTTCTAAAAACACGTGTTTCCGACTTATTATTACCTGAGTTTACATGGTTTTGTTCACAAACAATCTCAATTAGTCCAAACTTGTGGTTTCTACAGTGAAGACTTCTTAAAATGGGAAAAACACACGAAATTAGGAGTGAAGTTCGTTCTGCCATCGTTGTTTTACATAATGAAAGCAAATCTGAACGTGAGATTGCTTTACAATTGAAGTTATCGAAGACTTTGTTCATGGCACAATAACTCGATACGATAAGCTTCTGCCCATCTCCTTATTTGTTTCCTTCTGTCGCCACTACTTGGTTAATGTCTCTGAATATTGATATTATTTCTCTTTTGCTTTTTATAATCTTCAAATTAATTTTGGAGGAATCAAAGAACTCAATTATATTTTACAGGGACATGAACCTCTCCCTGGTTGACATGGGGGTTATGGAAAATTTGCTGCAAGATGAGGATACAGTGGAAGCAGCCAGTAAATTTCAACCACAATTCCAACCTTTTCTTCCTGTAAGTTTTTCAAAATGATTTACACTCAGATTTCTTTGTTTATATTTAGTTTTTAACAAATAATAATGATATATTTATTTTTAGGTGTCACCGTCTGGTCCCCCAGAAACCGAAAGTTTCCCTGGTACTTTAAACTTTGCAGTTGAAATAAAAGGTACAGAGACTGACAAGAAAAAGTATTTGGTGAGTTGTTTTTATTGTCTTTGAATAACAGAATCAAAATGCAGTGATATAATGTCCATAGCGACTTGTATGGAAGTAACCACAGAACAAATACAAAGAGGTGTTGTAATTAGATTTTACAATATAACAACACGTGACAATTTGCAGGGTGAGGGGATGTTCAGCCCTATCTATATATTATATTAGATTAGATACATCTATATCTGCCGATAAATAGTAAAACTACTAGAATCGTTCCAAATCAATGTTGCAATGTAGCTTAGCTACGTTGACGATAGATGGCAGTCTGTTCACAAAATGATTACAAAAACTATAAAAATAATATTTTTGCGATTAAAAATTGTTTAGGACTGAAAGCAAAACAAATTTCAACACCTTTGTATGATTATTTTACCAATACTGAGCTCTACGTAACTTTATATTTTTAGTTCCCATGACACAAAGTGTCGAATATATTTCACCATCTAGTGTCGAATATATTTTAATTACATTTGAAAGCCGACGCAGAGATTTTTCTAGAACCTTTTTAATAAATTAGGTATAAAATTACTTAAAGAATGAAATGTGATGCCGTCCATAGCATCAGTGTCTATTTGAGTAGTTTTTATACAATGAAACACAACACTTCATCCTTTTCTTCTTAATACATACTATGAAAATATACCGATTAGCGATTTTCGACACATAAGGGCACAGAACGAATGCTGACAGTATACTAAGTAAAACCACGCCCACTGTGATAATGTGAGGACCTAGTTAGAATTACAGTGCACAGTTGCTTATGCCATCTCCTCTTTGTATTTGCTTTGTGGAAGGAACACAACATAATATTATGTCGCTATACTAAATTCTAGACAGCTTTATTTTTAAAGAACAGTGATTGTATGTTTGCTAACTTGTGTATGGTCCTTTTTTCTATGTGCATTGATGTATATATTAGTTTATATATTGAGTTATAAATATCTTTTATGAAATACTTGACGTAGGTACGTAAAATATGATGACGACACAATTATTAAAAGCTATGAGGTCTTTCTGGCATTTCCCATTTTCGCCTCTTTCGACACCCACGGGACGAAAAGGCGTGTTAGCTTTCACTTCACCTTACTGGTCTATTGTATTCGGCTATGTCAGTCTACTGTGATTCTATCATGTAGTGAAAATGTATATAAATGAATAACAGATCTTAGTGCACTTGTTTCTACATTTTCAGTACTCCGCTCGCCTAAACCGTATATACGTGGACATGGGAGTGAATTTTCCGGTGCACTTCAGCTGGGACGCAATGAAACAAGCGCTAATGTACCCCGCGGGCCTATATGTGAGGGCCACAGTTGTGTTTTCTGACCAAGCACAAGCTGAGAAGCGCGTAGAACGATGCTTGCAACACGCGCATGAACCAAACAACCCTGGTGAGTATAAAAATTCAAAGAACATTATTATAATTCATTCTACGTTACATGCAAAAAAGTTTTTTTATGAAATAAGAGTGACAAGCGAATACACAGTCCATCAGATGGTAAGTGGATTCTGTGGCCCATAGATAGCATGACCATACGTCCCGTTTTAAATGGGACTGTCCCTTTTTCGGTACTCCATCCCGGTGTCCTTCTGGAAAGATTCGGAACGCGTAACTGTCCCGTAGCAACTGCAAGATTCGAAATACGCGAAAAATTTAAAGTGGCGTTTCGGAAGCAATTGTCTAATGCGAAAAAGAAGTGCATAATATAATGTTTTTTGTTGCGTGTTTCCGGTAATGTGACAAGTGAAAATTTTAGATCTCCAAAACCAACCAGGCAATATCATTGTCAACTATTTAGCCCATATTGCCAGAAAATAATGAGAATGCAAAAACTGTTGGACAAAGATGATACTAAAAATTAAAGTCGTTTCTTGAAAACGCACTAATACTTTTTACATTAATTTATTTTTAATTATTTATTCTGTGCTAATACCTAGATTTTAGACGCGGACCCTATCATTTAATTTACAACACAATCGATTTATAAGGTAAATCGATCTGTTAAAATACCGCAAGAAATGATGTGAAACATTGTCCTGCTTATAGTCAATAAAAAAATGGTTATGGTACCCATAGGCAACCAAATTAAAACATAGAAGGCTACAGATGCATTGTCAACATGGCCGTACAAGATGAGTGGAACTCAGCAGTGCAGACACTGCTGCTTGACAGTAAAAATAACTGTGGCACTTACCCAGATTGACTCCTAGGCAAGGGAGGAGTCCTACCACTCAGTAAATATTATATAAGTATATAACTGGTAAGCACAGTGTTAGGCGACATCTCACTCGATGGAGTGACGATATAATGAAACATGCAGGCAGTCGATGGTGGTGGTGGATAGAAGTGGCTCAGGACCGTGCTTTGTGGCATTCCTTGGAAAAGGCCTATGTTCAGCAGTGGACTTGTGATAGGCTGGAATAATAGCGATTATCTTGATGATTCTGGTATTTTTTAAGCATAATAATAATAATATTAACAAACTTGCGTGAGTGTTGTGGAGACACTTGGTTGGAACGAAGTTCCTTTCGTTGTATATTATTATTATTGATTATTATTAATAAACATATTATATTATTGATTAACAAATACAAATAAATGAATTACTAGCGTCTATTAAAATGAAGTGTCATTTAAAATTAGTACTGAATTAATTAAATATAAAATTAACTTATTTCATCTAAATTACTTAATAATGCCGTAAAACATGTGTTGAAGAAGCCAACTGTGAAGTGTCATAGAACAAAAAATCATGCAGGCAACGAGACGATAGTGAAGAATGTGCTTCGTTCCGCACGAGCGCTGGGCACAGATGGGTTGCACTACTGTGGACAGCCGGATCGACCGGACTCTTGGCTGTCGGTTTTGTTGCACTTGCCTGCACCTACTGGGCACGCCTACCAGTTCGTCTGCAAGAACTCCTGCTCATCAGGCATCAACCGGCGCAATATTGCGATTATATTCACCCTCGAGGACAGCCAGTGAGTATTTTTTTTTTATAAAAATAAGATTGACTAACAAAAACACAGTCCACCTGATGAATGCAAGCCTATAGACATCATCTATCCTCAACTAAGAATAAAAATACAGATTTTTAATTTTTATGTTAATGTGTTAAAATCTGTAAAAAAATAAATTTTATTTTATATACAGTACAAGTTTACACCCTATTTAATCCCCCCAGGGTTGAATTGACAGTTGAACAAAATACTTTTTTAAGTGCACCCACTAAGTGCACACCGAGAAAGGAGTATACATGCCAAATTTTAAGTCAATTAGGCATATAGTTAGAAAAACTTGCGATGAGAGAGTGAGTCAATGGTATTTCGCTTATTTATATAATCATATAGATTTATATAAATTATAAATTAAAAACTGTTTTTTATAATAATTTAAAATTAAATGAAACTATTTTTTACGGATTTTATCGCCTTTAATTTAAATTTTTAATTCCCGACGTTTCGGGTGCTTTACACCGCCCATGGTCACGGGGGCACTGAAACTGAAGGTGGCCGGGCTAACTATGACATCGGGACATTAAACAAAACGTCCTTTTGTGAGAAGGAGTCTTCTTAAACCATATTAATCAACCATGCTTTGTAAGAAGTCTTTTAACATATTTCATTGTTATTCTATTTGACCTCTAATAGGTATTCTATTATTTAAAAAACGTCATGTTATTAGAATGAATGATGTGCATTAGAAACCGTTTTTCGTTCCGCAACTTAGAATTAATTAATATGTAAACAAATTAACGCAAAACAAAACGACGTAAGTAATTCTTACACTTTAAGTAACAAATTCTTTTTTTTTTAGTGGAACTATACTGGGAAGACAGAGTGTTGGCGCACGTGCGTGCTCTTGTCCTAGAAGAGATCTAGTACGAGACGAGAAAGAAGAAGGCAAAGGGAAGAGGAAAATTAGACAAACTCAGCCCGAAACACTAAAGAAAATGAAGATTGAAGTTGTGGACAGTGATGAAGAAGTAGTAAACCTTCCGAAGGTAGTATACCTATTAATATAATTAGATATTCACTTAAATAATTCACTTAAAACCAACAACAACATGTAAAGTACGAGGGTGGATTGAAAAGTACTCGGCCTAACACAGATCCATTCAATTCTAAAAATCAAATCTAGCCACATTATTTAGTTCAGTTCAGACTAGTTCATTGTGTGAAGTTCGAAACGTGTGCGATAATTAGTTGTGATTTTATAAATTTATTAACAAAGTAATCGGACATAATTTCCGCGAATGGAGCAAATCGAGCAGCGTGCCGTCATTAAGTACCTCCATAAGAAGGGGCTATCATCAAAAGCCATCCATGATGACATGGTCAGTACATTAGGCGATTGTGCTCTGTCATATTCATCCGTCAAAAAATGGATAGCAGAATTTAAGCGTGGTAGAGAGAGTGTGAAAGATGAACCCCGCTCTGGAAGGCCTTCGACGTCAACTACTGACGAAAATATTAAAAAAGTACTTGATTTAATAATAGGAGACCGCAGATTAAAAATTAGAGAGATAGCCGAGATTATAGGCATCTCTTATGAACGAACTCAAAACATCATTGTCAACGAGTTGGGTTTCCACAAGGTGTCTGCGAGGTAGGTTCCGCGACTGCTTTCAGTTGAACAAAAAAGGACGCGATTGACTATTTCACGCGACTGTTTGGAATTATTTGAAGCCGATGCAGATGATTTTTTGAATCGTTTTGTTACTATGGACGAAACATGGGTTCATTACTGTACACCGGAAACAAAACAACAATCAAAACAGTGGAGAAGACCTGGTTCACCATCCCCTAAAAAGGCTAAGTCGATTTTGTCGGCAAATAAGGTGATGGCTTCAGTATTCTGGGACTCGAAAGGTGTGATTATGATTGATTATCTTGAAAGGGGTCAGAATATAAACTCTGATTACTACTGCACCTTACTACGTCGTTTACGAGAGGAAATAAAAGAAAAACGTCGAGGAATGCTCAGAAGAAAAGTCCTGTTTCATCAAGATAACGCCCGTGTTCACACGTCAGTACAGTCAATGGCTGAAATTCACAACTGTGGCTTTGAACTGTTACCGCATCCGCCGTATTCACCTGATCTGGCACCATCAGACTTCTTTCTGTTCCCTAACCTAAAAAAGCACTTGGGAGGTGTGGTGTATGCGATTTAAATGAAACAACCGTACTGCCAGAGAGCTGATTTATTACTAACTCGTTCTTTCGAAGTACCAGTGCGCATATACATCACCCCTTCCGCATTAATTTGAAAACCTAATAACAACAAAAAAGTAATTTATAATTTTACAATTTTTTTTTTCTTGGTCTTAGATTATAACGGCAGCGAGGGATGCTTTGTTCGGTATCGATATGTGACGCGGAAGGACCGGGCTTAGGTGCAACAGAAGCAGACTCTGATTGTTCCCCGCCATCCTGTCGATCGACAATCCCCTCCACCGAGACACTCTGCCGATCTGCCACTACCGCCTCTCCTCTATCCTCATTTAGCATTAAAGTTGGCTCACTGCCTTCCTGTGGAGATGTCTCGGCGTTAGAATGCGTGTTCATAGATGCTGTATTGACTAGCGGAGCGTTATTTATAATACCCGGCATACCAACGGGAGGAGGTGCAGGGGAGATGGCAGTCGGATACTGCGGTTGAAATGCTGATGCACAACATACGTCATTCGCAGTTTCAGGTGTCTTGTATCTTTCCGTATATTGCAGCAGTTGGTCTATGTGTCGCTTGCAAAAACCTTGACCAGCAACTGAAACCGTATACATTCTGCTACCTTCTCTACTTACAATTGTAGCTTGGGACCAAAATGGTTTACGGGACGTATAACAACGCGCCCAAACCTTTTCACCAATATTAAACCGCCTTACACTACTATCACAAGATGTTTGCATGTCTGTATTCGTAGGCGGTAAAATTAAATCTAATCGCGTTCGTGGTTCACGACCAAACATTAATTTTGAGGGTGTTTCACCGGTGCTACTGTGAATGCTGCTGCGATATTCGAATAGACATCTTAACAACAATTCATTCATTCGTTCATTGCTTACATTTAAATTATTACTGAGGATACATTTAAGCATTTTCTTACAAGTGCGTACGGAATTTTCGGCTTGGCCATTACTACAGGGGTGATAAATAGGAGACGTCATATATTTAATACCATTAACTTTACAAAAAAATCGAAATTCTGCATTACATATTTTTGGGTCGTTGTCAGAAACTAATAACTTAGGTAAACCAAAAGTACAGAACAAATATTTAAGTTTTTGTATTAACATTTTAGTGGACATAGTGCTGCACATGTGGAGACATTCGAGCCATTTACTATAACTGTCTACAACAACGAGATACGTGCGGTGTCCGAGTTGCATGTAGTCTATGTGCACGCGCTCCCAGGCGGCTGCCGCGCGAGGCCAGGGTGCGGGGGGCGCGCGCGGCGGTTCGGACCGCACAGCGCTGCACGCGCTACAGCTCGACACTAATCGCTCGATAGCAGAGTTGCATGTAGTCTATGTGCACGCGCTCCCAGGCGGCTGCCGCGCGAGGCCAGGGTGCGGGGGGCGCGCGCGGCGGTTCGGACCGCACAGCGCTGCACGCGCTACAGCTCGACACTAATCGCTCGATAGCAGAGTTGCATGTAGTCTATGTGCACGCGCTCCCAGGCGGCTGCCGCGCGAGGCCAGGGTGCGGGGGGCGCGCGCGGCGGTTCGGACCGCACAGCGCTGCACGCGCTACAGCTCGACACTAATCGCTCGATAGCAGAGTCGATTCCCGGCCACCACATCTTACCGCGCGCTATGCCTTTGGTTTTAACTATTCCTAAATGACCATTATGAAGCTCTTCTAACATACGATCCCTATATATTTTTGGAATAACAATTCTATGACCCCGCATAAGATAATGATGCTGTTTACTCAGATCCATTTAGTTGCATACCAAAATGTGTGCAAGAGTGCGTTAATGGTGCTTGCGTTGCCCCAGACGTTTGCAAGTGTCACAAGGGGTATACAAACGAAAGTCAGTGGCAATGCTCACCGGTTTGCGATAATTGTGAAAATGGAACTTGCGTAGCACCAAACGAATGCCAATGTTTGGAAGGGTATTCGAAAAAAGATGGAAAAACTTGCACACCAGATTGTGAAACACCCTGTAAGCATGGTGTGTGCACAGCACCAGATGTTTGCACTTGTGATTCTGGTTATGAACTCCAATATACCGTGTCTGACAACAATGTGCGTTCCACCTCCAAATCTGTTTTACAATTGAAATACGGTTCAATGTTTTTGCAACGAACTTTTCGAGGCCAACCATTACGAACATATTTAATTACTGTTTGCAATGTTTTATCCTGTGTAGTTGCATCTCGTATATTGTTAAACGAGACAGGCAACATCGTATCATCCAAAAACTTTAAATAAGACGTATTTTCGTGGTCATCTGATTCCCTTAAGCATTTATCATTAGGTGTCCGAGAAAAATAGTCCGCTACCACATTTTTATCGCTAGAGACGTATTGAATCACATAATTATATGCTGACAAAAATAGTGCGTACCTTTGGAGGCGCGATGCCGCCATTACCGAGACTCCATTTTTCTTACCAAATATGGCTAATAAGGGCCGATGATCTGTTTTCAGCACAAAAGGTTCTTTTCGACCAAATAAATATTGGTGGAAATATTTAACGCCAAATATTATAGCCGTAGCCTCTTTATGTATTTGGCTATAATTACTCTCACTGGCTGTAAGAGACCTGGAAGCGAAAGCAAGTGGGCGCTCGTTACCTTCTGGGCCCTGCGCCAGCACCGCACCAAAACCGGCCGGGCTCGCGTCCACACTGAGCACAAGTCGCGCACTCGGGTCGAAATGCGTCAACACTCGGTCTGATGATAGTTCACGCTTAACTTGTATAAACGCCTTCTCATGACGCTCACTCCAAGTCCACGCTGCATCATTACGGAGTAGTTCATGGAATGGATGTAATATGGCTGATGCCCTAGGTATGAACTTACGATAATAATTTATAATGCCTAGAAACCGTTTTACTTCTAAAATATTTTGTGGTCGTGGAATGCTTAGAAGTGACTCAATCTTCCTTGGACACGTCTTAAGGCCCTGTCTGTTTATGACGTAACCTAAGTACGTAACACTGCGTTTAAAAAAATCACACTTTTCTTTTTGTAATTTTCAACCTGCATCTTTAAGCCTACCTAAGACTTCACGTAACCTGCTCAAATGTAATTGCTTGTTAGGGGCCGTGATACAAACATCATCTAGCCAACAACTAACACCTTCAATACCTGCTAACAGGGTTTCCAATGTCCTTTGAAAAATAGCGGGCGCATTAGCCAAACCATATACAAGCCGGGTATATTTGTATAAGCCACGGGTTGTATTAATGGTGGTAAGTTCCTGTAACTCCTCGCTTAATATAAACTGATTGTAAGCGTTGCTCAAATCAATTTTCGTATATCTCTCGCCACCCCCTATTTTGGCGAAGACTTCCTCTATGCGCGGCATAGGATATTTATCGATTAGTAGGTCTTTGTTTAATGTTAATGAGTAATCACCTGCGATCTTTATTTTACCGTTTTCTTTTAATACAGGTACGATAGGGGTCGCATATTTAGAGTAATTTACCGGAATCAGAATGCCCGCACGTGTTAATCGGTCAATTTCTTCATTTACTTTGTCTTTCAGAGCAAAAGGCACAGTTCGTGGCTTAAAAAATTTTGGTACCGCGTTATCTTTAAGGTGCAAGGTGATTTTAAATTTATTAAATGCCCCAAGTTCTTTACTCCACAAGTCCGCGTACGTATTTAATAAATTTTGAACTTCACTTTCATAGCTGTCCACTAAAATGTTATTATTATTAACTGATGTCAACTTAATTTTAAATTGAGACATAAAATCACGCCCTAAAAGTGGTGGCCCACCATTTTTTATAACAAAGAAATTTAATTGCTTCATGAAACCGTTATATTTT